GTTATTCCCTTTGTCATCGGTATGTTACTTGCCCGAGATTCGATTGTCGGTATCTTCATACCTAGTTCAATCTCGTTACCGGCAAGTCTCTTTACTCATTCCATAATACATCATCCCGCAACTAACTCATTAGTCCCATTGCTTGCAAGGCTTATTATGATATGCATTACCGAGAGGGCCCAGGGATACCTCTCCGATACTCGGAGTGAGACATCCTAATCTTGATCTATGCCAACCCAACAAACACCTTCGAAGATACCCGTAGAGCATCTTTATAATCACCCAGTTACGTTGTGATGTTTGATAGCACAGAAGGTATTCCTCCAGTATCCGGGAGTTGCATAATCTCATAGTCGAAGGAATATGTATATGACATGAAGAAAGCTATAGCAATAAAACTGAACGATCAACATGCTAAGCTAATGGATGGGTCTTGTCCATCACATCATTCTCCTAATGATGTGATCCCATTTATCAAATGACAACACATGTCTATGGTTAGGAAACTTAACCATCTTTAATTAACGAGCTAGTCTAGTAGAGGCTTACTAGGGACACGGTGTTATGTCTATGTATCCACACATGTATCAAGTTTCCGATTAATACAATTCTAGCATGAATAATAAAAATTTATCATGATATAAGGAAATATAAATAACAACTTTATTATTGCCTCTAGGGCATATTTCCTTCAAATTTCTTGTGATCCTCTAACATGCGCTGCAACTTCAGCCTCTCCTTCTTACTTGCACAGTTTCTCTTTGCATAGACAATGGCATGACCTAGATCATCAGCGGGCTCATCTGATGTCTCTTCTTCAGCTTCTTCCCGCATTGCCGGCCCAGCTTCTTTTCCCATTGTTGTACCATCGTATTCAGGAAACCCATGGCCAGGATAGCTGTCGTCGTCCTCTTCTTCTTCATTATCTTCCATCATAACCCCTCTTTCTCCATGCTTGGTCCAAACATTATAGTGGGGCATGAAACCGGACTCAAACATGTGCTAGTGAATGGTTCTTGAGTTAGAGTAATTGTGATCATTCTTATAGCCAGCACATGGATAAGACATAAAACCATCCACCCGCTTGTTTACCTTAGCCGCAAGCAGAAAAGTACGCACGCCATTAATGAACTGGGGAGAGTATAGGTCATCGTACATCCATTGTCGGCTCATCTTCATTACACGGCACCGAAAAGAACAAATTAATACAAGTTCATACACACTTATTCTCATAAAACAACATACAAACTCTCTAGCTAAAGCATTTAAATGCAATAACAAAGGAGATCAAAATCGCAACTAAGGTAACAATTGATCCAACGGCATAATGATACCAAGCCTCACTATCAATGACATATTTTCTAATCTTCAAGCACACTTTTTCCATCTTGATCTTGTGATCATCGACGACATCGGCAACATGCAACTCCAATTCCATCTTCTCATCCTCAATTATTTTTCAATTTTTCTTTCAAATACACGTTTTAATTTTCAACTACACTTAACCTCTCGACAATAGGGTCGGTTGGAATTTCCGGTTCACATACCTCCTAAATAAAAATATCTATGTCAACTTGATGGGCATAACTTTTCATAAACACGAAATGCAACAAATAGTTATAAAAGAGAATATACCACATCCGAATCATAAACCGGACGAGGGCCAACGAGGACGGATATCAAAACCATGGCACTATGTATAACAAACAACGTACGGATAAGATAATTATACAAGTAACTATATATCTAAATCACACAAACATGATTTTTTTATATATAAAAATAAGAACAAGAGGCTCACCAGAAGGTGGTGCCGGCGACGGGACGGTGGGGGCGTTCGACGGTGGTTAGGACGGAGACGGGGAGGCACTAAGTAAACCACACCTACATATGCAAACTAAGAGTCATTTTGAGCTCAAGTTGCATATAAATCAAATAAACTACCACATACAATTCCTCCCAAACTAAAATCCACAAATCACTATACTTATAGAGCATTGCAAGAGCTAATCTATCAATGTTAGATGAAAGGACAAAGTTTCTAACATTTGTGATCACTTGGATGGATGGGGTGCCTTCAAATCTTGACAAATTTTGGCAAAAATGGAAGATGCGCTCGAGAGGAGAGGAAGAAAACAAAGAGGAGAGGAAAGGGGAAGAACAGAGAGCCCAGGCTCGAAGAAGGATTTATATAGGATGATCTTTAGTCCCGGTTGGTTATATGAACCGGGACTAAAGGTGCATCTCTAGTCCCGGTTCGTTCCACGAACCGAGACTAAAGGTGTTGGTGGGGCCACAGCTCGACACCAGCCTGCCACCACCTCTTTAGTCCCTGTTCGTGGCACGAACCGGTACTAAAGGTTTGCCACGAACCGAGACTAATGAGTGTCACCCGTCTAGCCGTTGGAATCGGCACTAATGGTCACATTAATGCTGTTTTATTTACAAACCGGGACTAATGAGCTGAACGTTAGGCCATTTTGTACTAATGTGCATTGTGCGTGTAGCAAGAGGGAGGGGCGAGAGAGAGAGGGGGAATGTGTGGGCGGAGAGGAGGGCACAAGCGGTTTTTGTAGCCGCCAAGGGAGGGCGGTGGCGTGCACAGGTGAGGCGTCGGAGATTAATGTGGGCGGTGGCATGTGCAGGTGAGGCTATGCGACGCGTTGGCTTAATGGCGGCGGGGCAGCACAACCGAGGCAAGGCGACACGTCACGTTAATGGTGGCGCATGCGAGGCACAACAGCGCGTGCATGGCCCTTGGGCACCACGTTTGACAGGTCGAACCCCGTGTAATGGCAGGACGGGCGAGGTGCAGCGGCGCGTGCGTGGGCCTGGGATGCCGTGTTTGCCATGTTGAACACCCACATACGACAAATGTATACATGTACAGAGGGTGCATATCTGCGTGCTCCTCGGCTACTTGGGTTGACGACCTTTTTAATAAAAAATCATCCTATCATTTGTTATGAAGAGGTATAGACAAATCTGGTTCATCGATGTGTTTAGCGGGGTTGTACTGAAAAAATGTTATATGTGACTTTTGTTAACAATCATTTTTTATGATAATCTACCTTGTGAATTATTATCCTTATTTTTTCACAATTGTTAAATTAAACGAAAAGCTATTTGTCTACCGACTGTCAGTTAGCGACAAGCACGTATGATCGCCTTTTTTTCCTCTCTGGCACGTAAAAAGAGCTTAAAAAATTAGTGCCACCGCGCTAGGATTCGAACACACAACTTATTGGTTGTGGCCACAAAGCATTACCAGCTAAGCTAACTACATGTTCTTTCATTTGCGGGTTAATTTTATTTCTACCTTAGTAAATGAGAGCGAGAAAGAAAGACCACAACGCCTTTGATGAGACAAAACCATTTGCTCCAAGTTTTTTAAAGGGCCGATGCAACGTGTTTTGTACTCCACTTGTCTTTTTTTTGTAGTGATGAATGTTTTCCAGAGAAATAAATGTTTCACTCCTATAGAATTCGAACAACGGTCTTTTTCTCGTTTGTCATATCTCAGTAAATTCTTTTGTAATGAGCTTGATAATTATAGGTACCACAAACCGATAGCTTATGTAAAAATATCGTCGTAGCTTTTTTTGAAAAAAAACTAATGTAAACATACACTCAGTAACTTTTTTGTATGAATAGTATGGTAACTCACACATCGCATATCTGATAATTTATGCACCACGGTCCTGGTAACTT